AGGAGGAGTAGGATAGGGTTCCATGAAGGAGGATGGCATGAGGGAGCTTTAGGATTGCAGGGGGGAGAAGCAGGGGGGGTTAGACCTTGGCCCTTTCCTCCTCTCCCCTCCCACTCACTTCCTTGTCATTTCTACCCCTTTAGGGACCGGTCCTGCACTGTCCTCAATGTGGAAGGTGATGCTTTGGGGGCAGGACTCCTCCAAAGTTATGTGGATCGCACGGAGTCCAGGAGCCCGGTGCCCGAGTTGGTCCCGGTGAAGAGTGAGGTGCCTCTGAGTCCGATGCTGGCCCCCACTGAGGAAGGGGACCCCCTCCTCACACACTATCGGGGGCCCATTGGGGATGCCGCCACGTCTGAAAAGGAATCAGTCATGTGAGCCCCAGGAGGGACCTGCCCTGCCCTGATGGAGACACATCATGAGGAATGGCCAAATGGACAAACTAGGGCTCTGGGGGCTGCCACGCTCCGGGGAGCCAGAGGCCCCGGTCCCCTCCCAGCCTCGATGCTGGGGGGGTACATGTGTTTATATGTGTATCAGCGCGTCTCCCCAAACCTCCCCAGTTCTCAACTTGTGTCCCTCACCCAAGGCTAGGAAACAGCAAGATGAAGAAATAACACCCGCCACGCCCCAAGCCCAGGACCTGCCTGGTCTTCCCTGTTCAGGGCACAGCTCACAGCCCACCGTGTGCCCTTCTACCCCTGTTGAGCAGATGGATGTTCCAGCGTGATGCTGGGCATTTTGGCGGCTGTAGCTGTGATGTATGTGTGTGTGTGCTGTGACCACCTGGTCTCTCCATGGTACGGCCCACCCCGTCCCCAGGCTCTCTCTTCCTTCCCAGTAACAAACACTCCAAGAACTCTCCGAGGAGGCCGAGGACAATGCTGCAGACACTCCAGAGGACATTTTCTAGCAATAAAATTGAGTGTCAGGTATTTCATCCGGTGTTTTTAAGAATTTGACTAAAAGCCCTAACCAATGATAGTATCTGTTCATCAAGAACCACCACTGGAAACCACACTGAGACGCCACCGTACACTATTAGAATGACTGATAGCAAACAGAAACAATACCAAGCGCTGGTGAGGATGAGGAGCAACTGGACTGTTGTTCGTTGCAGGTGGAAATGCAAAATGGTCCCATTGCTTTAGAAAGTAACCGGCCAGTTTCTCCCATCCAAGAGCTAACCAGGCCCAACCCTGCTTAGATTCCGAGATCAGACGAGATCGGGCACGTTCAGGGTGGTGTGGCCATAGACCGGACGGTTTCTAATAAAGTTAAAACATACACTTACCGTGCCCTTTTTAGGAGTCACACTCCTGGAATTTACCCAAGAGAAATGAAAACTTTTGTTGACATAAAAACCTGCACACACTGTTTAAAGCTGCTGTATTCATTGTTGCCAAGCTTCAGGAGCAAATCGATGGGAAAAACTTTCATACCATGGAAGATGACTCAGCAATAAATAGAAACAGTATTGGTTTATCCTGCACCATGGACGGATCTCAGATCATTTGTTGAAAGAAACCAGAAAGAGTACATGGTATATAGGTGCATTTGTAGGAAGATCTAGAACATGCTAAACTGGTCTGTGGTGAGAGAAATCAGAATGATGGTGACATGAGAATGCACATTGACCGGGCACAAGCAATCTATAATAAAGCAAATATCTTGGTGTGGGCGATGATTACATTTGGAATTTTCTTTTTTTTTTTTTTGAGACATGGTCTTTTACACTGTCGTGCAGGCTGGAGTGCAGTGGTGTCATAGCTCACAGCAACCTCAAACTCCTGGGCTCAAGTGATCCTCCTGCCTCAGCCGCCCGAGCAGCTGGGACTACAGGCATGCGCCACCACACTCAGCTAATTTTTCTATTTTTGTAGAGATGGGGTCTCGCTCTTTCTCAGGCTGGTCTCGAACTCCTGGCCTCAAGGGATCTTCCTGTCTTGGCCTCC